GAAGAAGAGGAGGAGGAAGAAGAAGAAGAAGAAGAAGAAGAAGAAGAAGAAGAAGAAGAAGAAGAAGAAGAAGAAGAAGAAGAAGAAGAAGAAGAACTTCAGGTGGTATAACCCAAAAGAAAATTGAATCATGTGAAGAGAGCTACCTAGCCCACAATAGTCAAATCTGAAAAGAACTTTAATATAGATATGTATACAGTATCAATGTTTAACACATTGATAGTGAAAACATTCATACAACAAGAACAGGAGGTTTGGAAACAGAACAGGGACATGTTAAAAGGCCAAATAGGAATCTTAGAAATTAAAAGTGCGTTCCCTGAAATCAGAACTCATCAACGTCTCCATCAATGCACTTCCCCCACCAGCTAAATCAAGAGCCGGGAAACAGCCGCTCGTTTCTAAGCACAGGTGTTCCCGTATAAAATTCCCACACTTCCCTCTGCTTGGCTCTCACCTCGATGACCTCCCCTATCAGAGACAGTGTCTTCTCCCACTTGTGGACGGTCTGCAGGAAAGGCCCCACGAATCTGCTCCCGGAGATGCTCTGCAAGTTGACAGTGTTGTCGTCCAAGCACTGAATGACGTCGTCCACGGACCCTAAGATGTAGCCTCGCTCCTGCGTGCCTTTGTAGTACTTGACCACGGTGAACTTCATGTTCTCCCAGGTGTCTAGGATCTCCTTCACGGCCTGGTTGGGACACAAACAGTGGTTGGGCCCACAGAGCACAACCCTGAGCCAGGAGCTTCCTTCCCTAATGCGTCCTTGGTCTCAACTCAACCCAGAGTCCCAGCTCCATCATCTGAGAGGTCAAGATTCTCCTCAGCAACAGTGTCCCTGACTATCGGGCGTGTACTCTGCCAGGGAAGCGTGTTACATGTGGGATCTCATCTAACCCCCACCCCAAAATCAGATTGTTATCCAGAGATAGGTTTAGAAGGGCCACACGGTGGGCCACACATGCTGCCGAGTGCCAGAACTGGGGCCCCAACTGTGCAGCTCCCTATGTAACAAAGGGGTCCTACCACACTCACCCACTGCTGAGCGAGAAAGTGCCAGGACAAAATTCTAGGCTTACTATGATTCCAGGCTCTGAGGAAATCCGCAATGATATGTGCTCTGTGAATGTCTATATGTAGATGTTTATAAGTATGTGTGGTTTGATCTCTAGTGGGACAGGACTCTCTGGGCATGCCTTTGAGGTATTATCTTAATTAGGTTAAGTTTAAAAACAAAAAAAGAACCGCCCACTATGGGTGGTGCCGTTCCCTAGACTGAACGGAATAAAAAGGAGAAACTGAACTGGGCACCGGCATCCATCTCCCTACTTCCTGACTGTGGCTGCAGTGTGACCAGCTGCCTCACGCTCCTGCCGCCATGCCTTCCCTGCCATGATGGATGGTGCCCTCAAACTGCGAGCCACAGTAAACCCTTCCTTCTTTAGGTTGCTATTGGTGGGGTATTTTTCCACAGCTGTGAGACATGTACTTAAGACAGCATCTATACATAGTATGTGTATGTATTTGTTTATAGTGTATGAGTGTGAACACATGTATTGATTGTATGTATGACTACATGTGTTTGTGCATATATGTGTGAATGTATCTACATGTGTCATGTGTCTACACATCTTTTAGTGTTGTGGGAGCTGCGGGTTGCATTCCTGCCGCCCTGCTCCTGGCCGCCTGGCTAGCTTATGCCCCGAAATAACAACACACAAATTGTATTCATTTAAACACTGCCTGGCCCATTAGCTCTAGCTTCTTACTGTCTAATTCTTACATCTTGATTACCCATTTCTATTAATGTGTGTAGCACCAAGGTGCGCTTTCCAGGAAGATTCTAGCCTACGTCCATCCTGGGTCGGAGCTTCATCACATCTGCCCGGGAGAGGGGAGCATGGAGTCTGTCTGAGCCGTCTTACTTCACTTCCTCTTCCTCCCAGCATTCTGTTCTGTTTACTCCACCCACCTATGTTCTAACCTATCAGGGCCAAGCAGTTTCTTTTTTAATTAACCAATGATCTTCCTACATCATTCTGTTAGAATCAGTTGTGCGAAATGGGCTCACATGGCATCTTCCTGTGTCCCATTTGACCCTGTGCATGCATCTTCAGCAGGGTGCAGCATTCAGTGGGATGACAGCGATGACTGCCCTCAGTGTCCAGGCTCTGAGTGATTTGCTATTTTTAATTGTTTTCCAAGGGGTGCCAAATTGTTCACCCGTGAATAGAATGTGAAACTGCAATCAAGGACGTCAAGAAAAGTAAACTGAGGCAGAGGTTCTACTTCCTTAGACACTAGAGACAGAGTGTTTCCTGCTAAGAGAAAAGACAGTCTTTGCTGGAGCCTTCCTGTGATCCCAGCACTCAGGAAGCTGAGGCAGGAAGATCATGAGTTCAAAGCCAGCCTCATCTACATGGTAAAACCCCATCTCAATGAACCAAAGGCTGATGAAGGCCTTGGAGGCAGAGCCGCAGCACCGAGACCCACGGCTCCCCTTCCCTACCTTCTCAATGGCCACCTCCTTGACAGCCGCTGTGACGATCTCATTGAGCACTTCTGTGTGGCTGTGCAGCTCCATGGCGAACATGTTCTCCAGTGTGAAGGTCTCTGTCATCTCAAAGAACACACCTGTTTTCTCCATGAGTTCTTTCCAATGTCTGGAAGGATATAGAGCCATTAGCAAACACCACCCCAGCAAACCCAGCGCCGGCTTATCTGTTCCCCCTGACAGCAGAGGAGGAGGCCCCACGAGAGAACCTCCACAGGGTCACTGAACAGCCTGGGTCTCCCAAATCTTCCTCCCTGCCACCACAGTCAAAATCAGAAAACACCGCTGCTGAGAAAATGAGTGGCCTCTGGTTTTTGGAAACTGGCTTCTGCCCAGGGGAGAACCCTTTTCAGTCGTGGAGCCCAAGTGTGTTGGGAAGTATTACTTCAGCACTGACTCCACTGAGTAGTGGGGTCACGAGGTGACCCCAGGTGCAGCTCCTGGTCCCAGGAAACTCATCCCCAGCTTGGATAGATGGTCAAGAGACAATGAACGGGATCTACAGTTTAAACACTGTCTTATGTTGACAAGTAGACTTGTTCTGAGAAACACGTCATCAGGCGATCTGCTTGGCTTTGTGTAAACTCTCCAGTGTGAACCACACAAACCCACACGTCCAGGCCTATGACACATCTGGTCACATGGTATGGCATACCATCTACTACTGACCAGAACACTGGTGCCCACTGCTGTGTTACTTAGCTACAAACCAGCCGTTTTGTTTGCTTGTTTTATACAGAGCTGGGGATGGGACTCTTGGCCCCAGACAATCTAGGCAATTGCTCTACCACTGAGCCACACACCCCAGCTTGTACGTACTAACTGTTCAAACACTGGGTGGTCAGGGGTTAACGGTGTGGGCCCTTGGGAGACTGGAAGAGGAGAATAGGGAGTTTGAGGTCAGCCTGGGCTATATCCTGAGACCTTGGCAAGAAAGAAAAAGAAGAAGAAGAAGAAGAAGAAGAAGAAGAAGAAGAAGAAGAAGAAGAAGAAGAAGAAGAAGAAGAAGAAGAAGAAGAAGAAGAAGGAGAAGGAGAGAAAGTGGAAGGGGGAGGGATCCCTGGTATCAGAGGTGACGCTCAGATGTGCCTTACAGGGAGGAACATGGCCGAGCCTGGGAACTGTGGGCTACAAGGTCATGGAATGGGGGGCCTTGGTTTGTCACAGAGAACAGCCCTGAGAGCCAAGGGCAAGAGCATTTCAGGCTGGGAAAAGCGTGGGAACGTGGACAGGCAAAAGCTATGTTGGTTGGACCTGTGGCCGCCACTCTGGGCTCAACAAGACAGGAAATAGGCGCTAAAACCTCATGAGTGTTCAGGAGAGACCTTCATGCTTGTGTGAAGAGGACTGTGTCCTCCTCAGCTCCCTGAAACTGTGATGAAATACCTGAGAAAAGTGACAACGGAGAGAAGGGTTTAGAGGGGTCACGGTGACGGAGAGAATCATAGCCAGGGACATGAGATGCGGCTACGTGAAGATGGGGGAGGGCGGATGAGACTAAGGGGCGCCCCCCTCCTAAAGTCACCTAACAACAGTTACTACTGGGGACTAGACCCTCAACACATGAGCCCCTTGGGAAAATTCCAGATCCAGACTACAGCAGATTGGGAGGAAATGGGGACCGAACCAATTTCTAGCTAAGTAAACTAAAGTCGTGTGACGTGGTTCTCTGAGGAGACTCTGGGAAATGCGGCCAGGGAGGGCAGAGGCCACAGAACACTGGCTAACTCCCTTAGGCATGGAGTGGGGCTGGGCAAGCCACCAGACCCACAGGACCCATGGCTCCATCAAACACCAGAGGGACCCAAGCTTCCAACACGGCAACCACATGTGGTCTGTCATTGTTGGGCGAGCCCAAGCTCTAATAGAGTGTACAAAGTGCATCAGAGTCCAAGGTAGCCAAATATCTCAGGAATAGATGCTTTATACTGGCTACACGTGGAAATGGTAGCTCAAACATTAAGTCAATTAAATATATCATTAAGGGGTTGGAGAGATGGGTCCCGCAGTTAAGAGCACTGGCTGCTCTTGTAGAGGACCTGGGTTCGGTTCCCAGCACCCACATGGCAGCTCATAGTCATCTGTAGTTCCAGTTCTAAGGGATATGATGCCCTCTGGCCTCCACAGGTACACACACACACACACACACACACACACACACACACGTACACACGCACACACACATACACTGACAAAACACACTAAACATAATTTAGAATAAAAATAAATCTTTAAAGTGTGTGTGTGCATATAGGATTCATCTCAAGCCAGGCATGATGGTCCCGCCTATAATCCCAGCACATGGAAGGCTGAGAAAGAAAGACTGCCATGAGTTTGAGGCTATCCTGGGCTACATGGCAACTTTGATGCAATGTGCCAATAGACATATGGTCCAGACTGTCATGGAACTTTCTATCCTCCTGCCTCAGTCTCCCAAGCAGAGTTCTTTTTATTCTTCTAACGTTGCACCTAAAACCTGCAAATGACATTGGTGGCTCCATTCCATTTCTCCTGGATTCCTCTGATCAAATCCTCCTGCTGTCTTCCTTTCCAAACAAATCCTGCCCCCTCTCGCCTCGCTGCCGAGCTGGCCCCTCTCGTCTGTGCCCCCTGTCTAACCTATGCTGTACAAGCCTGAGATCTAAAGTCGTTCCGTGAGCTCACAAGGCTGACGGAGGACGGAACCAACCTCTCTCTCAGGGCCTCGTGCTTCAAGTCCAGAAGGAGGGGGATGGAGTCCTTGAACGCCTTCATCTTTGCTTCCAAATGGAAAGCCACGGATAAGTTGCGCACGTGGCGCGGCAGCTTGCGGAGGCCTTTGAGGAAGCCTTCGATACCTTCCTGCAGATACTGGACATTCAGGTTGATCCAGAGGGTCTGGGACCACTCCTCTTTGGCCACCTAGAAACATTAGACAAACATCAGCACCCAATGGGACCTGACGCAGAAGCCAAGGAAGGGACCGACACGTGCCTAGCTCTGGCCTCCCTCAGCTCTCTCTTCGAAGGATCCTCTGAGGTAAAAGGGTGAGTGTTGAGGCCAACCAAAAGGAGCTGTGGCTTTTCCCAGCCCTCCCCAACATAACACTGCACCTGAGTGTGTATGTGCCTGTGCCCAGCTTGGGGGTGTCCGGGGGAGGGACGGCACCTTTAGAGACTCATACAGGTCGTAGATGAGCCGGAGCCCTGACATCTCCTTCTGCACTTTGATGAGCTCAGGGTACATGGTGATGGGGAGGTCAAAGAGCTTCTCCGCATTGGCCAGTTCCTGCCGGTTCTTCTCATGCTTGGCCAGCTCCTTTTCAAAACTGCTTAAGAGATCAACGCCTGGAGAAGTGCAGACAAGCATCATATGGACTCATTCGCTTTTGGATGCAAAGCAAAGAAAACCAGCCTAGAAATCACAATCCCAGAGGACCTAGACAACAACGAGGACCCCAAGAGACACATACATGGATCTAATCTACGTGGGAAGTAGAAAAAGACAAAACCTTCTGAGTAAACTGGGAGCGTGGAGACCATGGGAGAGAAAAGGAGGGGAGAGGAAGGGAGGGGAGTAGAGAAAAATGTATAGCGCAACAAAATCAATTTTAAAAGTTTTTAAACATCAGAAAAGAAGTGCGGAGATAGAGCAGAAAGGACAGTGTGACTGTGAGGGCTTGGGAGCCAGGGTGGGAGTGGGGAGGGGGGGGTCGCTGCGAGTTCAAGGCCAGCTATTTACATAGTAAGTTCCCAGCCAATCAGGGCTATAAAGTGAGCAGTGTGTCTAAAAATGTGTGTATACAAGATGGAGGGCCAAAAGAAATGGCTCAGTGGATAAAGATGCTTGCTGCTAAGAAGGTCAGCCAAAGTTCAATCCATAGGAACCACGCGGTAGAAGAAAGAACTGACCCATGTTCTCTGACCTCGACACAGGCATGAGTCTCTTTCTCTTTCTCTCTCTCTCTCTCTCTCTCTCTCTCTCTCTCACACACACACACACACACACACACACACACACACACACAAGCACACGCATGCACATGTACACACTAAATAAATAGGTAAATATAATTTAAATTGTTAAATAAGAATTAAACAAATTTGATTAAAGAAATCAGCTATTGGGGGCTGGAAAGAGGCTCAGTGGTGAAGAGCACCGGGAGCACTGTCATGGTTTGGGAGCTCGCTGGTGGGACAGAAAAAGACGTGTTACATTTCTGAGCTACAGTTTCTCTCCACAGGAAATTCCACATGAACACAGTGAACTGAGGCCTCTGAACTCGTGAGCCAGAACAATTGTTCTTCCTCTTAACCCATTTCTTTCAGATGTGCGTCACGATGACAGAAGTCTGGCGGGCCAGAGAGAAGCAACATGGCACTGTCCAGGGTCTAAGTGCAGAGAATGAATGAATTCAGAGGAAGAAAGCAGCAAAGGTGTGTGTGTGTACACGCGCATGTGTGTGTGCGTGTGTGTGTGTGTGTGTGTGTGTGTGTGTGATACACACAGCTGCACTGGCAAAGGCAGATGCGGTGGTCACCATGTTGGGCTGCAGTGGGGACCGGCTGGATTCCAGCTCTCACTAGATCCTGCATAAACCCCCTGACCCTATGCGCTATATCCACCCTGCCGTCAGAGGCCACTGCTAGACCATGAGAGAAGCAGCTGAGGCAGGAGTCGATACTTCAGGGACAACACATCACTTCCTGTGTACGTCTCAGGAGCCTCCGGGCCCTCAACACCCCCACACCACAGCCTCACCTTTATCCAGGTCTTCACCCACAGCGCCAGGGCCTTGCCTGTAGAAGCGCTGTGCAAACTCTTCCAGCTGGCTTCTGTAGTTCATTATCTCACTCCGGGTGATCTGAGTGAAGAAGGCCGCCGTAAGTGCGGGGATTGGAACCCAGGACCTCACACGCACCGTGCGCACCCAAGTTCTGACCCTTGCCCCAGTTCCCCATCTGCACTCAGAGTGGAGGTGACACCGCACCTCAGTGAATGTTCTCTTGATGCCTCCGAGCGCGTGTTCCACATTCACAGAGTCACTGAAGAGAGTCTGCCACATGCTCTCAATCTTGTCAACCAGTTCCCGCTCAGCTTCGGTAGGCTAGAGAGAGAGACACGGGGATAGACAGACAGACAGACAGGCAGGCAGGCAGGCAGACAGACAGACAATGAGGGCAGAACAGATTACCAATAATGTTGGAATTGCAATGTTGGGTGAAAGCTGCTCCCCATGGACTTTGGCTTCTAGCTGCATCCAAGGGGGCTATTGGAACAAACTGGTAAAGCCAGCTGAGACAGTAACATTGTGTTCTTGGGGTTGTTTATTTGGTTTGGGGATTTTAGTTTTTCCTCTTTAATTATGTGTGTGTGTGTGTGTGTGTGTGTGTGTGTGTGTGTGTACAGTGCCTGCAGAGGCCAGAAGAAAATATCAAATTCCCTGGAGCTGTGAGCTGCCTGATGTGGGAACCCAACTTGGGTTCTCTGGAAGGGCAGCCTTAACCACTAAGCCACCTCTCCAGACCCCTGTTGGCTCATTTTGGAGTTGAAGTTTTACGTATCACAGGCTGGCCTCTAACCCACTATGCAGCCAAAGGTAATCCTCCTGCCTCCACCTCCCAAGTTCTGCGAGTACAGGTGTATGCCACTGTGTCTAGGCCAATCTGTAATTTTGTAATAAAAATGCTATCTAGGCCAGGCATAGTGGCACGAGCCTTTTATTCTGGAGACAGAATCAGGGGATCTCTATGAGTTGGCAGCCAGCTCTACATAACGGTTTCAGGCCAGCCAAGGCTTTATGGTGAGACCCTGGAGAGAGAGAGACAGACAGATGGAGATCTGGAGGAGCTAGAGAGATGGCTCAGTTGTTAAAAGCTCTGGCTACTCTTCCAGAGAACCAGAGATCTGGATCTATGCCCTCTTCCGGCCTCTGTGAGTATTGCACTGATGTTCATAGATAGATAGATAGATAGATAGATAGATAGATAGATAGATAGATAGATAGACAGACAGACAGACATATACAGAGACACATAATTAAAAAAGAAAAGAAAAGGGAAGCTAGCTTCTTCATATTATAACTTCTGAAAACAAAGCACAAAAAGTGTCCTTGAAAGTAGGTGGAATGATGGCTCAGTGGTTAAGAGCACTGGCTTCTCTTCTAGTGGATCTGAGTTCAGTTCTCAACACCCACAAAACTCCTTACAACCATTTGTAACTCCAATGCCAAGGGATCTGATGCCCTCTTCTGGCCTCTGCTGGTACAGCACTCACATAGTGCACATACATGTAGGCATACTTAAACACATAAAATAAAAATAAATCTTTAAAAAATTTAAAACACAGAGAGACCCTATCTCAAAAATAGACTAATAAAACCATTTGCCACAGTTTATCTTCTCACATTCCCCTTTCTTTCTTATTCTTTCTTTTCTTTCTGGTTTTTTTTTGTTTTTTTTTTTCTTTTTTTCTTTTTTTTCGAGACAGAGTTTCTCTGTAGCTTTGGAGTCTGTCCTGGAACTAGCTCTTGTAGACCAGGTTGGCCTCAAACTCACAGAGATCCACCTGCCTCTGCCTCCTGAGTGCTGGAATTAAAGGTGTGTGCCACCACTGCCCAGCTTTTTGGTTCTTCAAGACAGGGTTTCTCTGTGTAGCCCTGAATGTCCCGGAACTCATTCTGTAGACCAGGCTGTTCCTTCTTGTTCTTATTTATGAGTATTAGTGTGTGTGTGTCTGTGTGTGGTGTGATATATAGGTGTGTACACACATGCCACAGTGCACATATGGAGATCTGTGGAGTTGGTTGTCTCCTTCTGCCTTTACATGGGTTTGGGGATTGAACTCAGGTCTCCAGGCTTGTGTGGCGAACTCCTTTACCCACTGAGCCATCTTGTCAGCCCTCTTATTATTTTGCAAAAACTCTTTACTTTTTACAGGATGTAACCCCTGTCCTGTCCTCTCCCCAGGAAAGAGAAGAAAGGAAGGGAATGAGATGAGACAGTGAGCGAATATGAACAGGCTGTAGAACATCACAGAAGTCTTGTGAGATCAAACCATGGTCTCCACATTTAAAGTTCAATAAAATACCCGTGTAGTGGGGACACCCATGTGGTAGCTTCCTACTGGTCACTTGCTTGGGAACACATGGCTGGCAGGGCCACTGAGAGGCCCTTCTGAGGATGTCCCCCACAGGCTCACTGTTGGAACTCTTGGTCCCCAGTTGGTGGCGCTGTTTGGGAAGGTGATGGAATCTGTAGAAACTGGGGGCTTTCTGGGGGGGTGGGCTCTGAGGGTCTAAAGCCTTGATCACTTCCTGTTGTCTCTCTCTGTTTCGTGTGTGTGTGGACGAAATATGAGCAGCCAGCTTCCCACTCCTGATGCCATACCTCCCCTGGCAGTTGCCATGCCTCTCTGGCCATGCCTCCTCCCGAGGCTGCTTTCATCGGGCATTTTGAGGCAGGAAGAGGAAAAGTAATTTACAGAGTAGATAACCCAACCAAAAGCGGTGCTGGAGCAACAAGGCTGACTCACAAAGATGCTGTATATCGCCATGGTGCGGTACCGCTCCTGGACGTCCTTGTACCTCAGCTCCATGACTAAAGATTTTGTCCTGACCTCTGCAATTGTTGCCAGGACAAACTTGAGATCTTCAAGCGTGGTGGGGCTCTTCTTAAGGTTTTTGTTCAGGTGCTACGAAAGAATTCAGTGGAGACAGAAAACAGCAATGGATGAGACCACCTTCCTCAAGAACAGGGCTCCTTGGGGCTGGTGCAGCCTGCAGGCTAGGGATGTGTGCCGATTAGTTTTGTCAACTTGAGGCAACCTAGAAATGGCTCAGGAAGAGCATCTTGATGAGTAATTGCGCAGCTGAGGCTGGCCTGTGGGCATCTTTGTAGGGAGGAGGGGTTATCTTAATTGTTAAGTGAGGTGGGAAAACCCAGCCCACTGTGGGCAGGACCATTCCCTAGGCAGAGGGTTCCAAACAGTACAGGAAGAGAATGCTGGCTGAGAGCAAGAGAGCGAGGGCACATTTATCCTCTCTCTGCTCCTGACTGTGTGTATGACCAGCTGGGTGTGACTAGCTCTCTGAGTTCCTGCCTTTGAACCCCCTCAGTGGTGGACTGTAACCTGAGATTATGAGTGAAATACACCCTATCTCCCTTAAGTCACTCTTTCTTTTGGATATTTAATCACAGCAACAGAAATGAAACAAGGATAGGATGGAACCCAGGGCCTTTGGATGTGCTTGGCAAGGCTCTACCATAGAGCTACGCCACCGCCTCTGAAGATCTGTTTGAAATAAAGGTGGCGTTGGCATACCTCGATCTCATCCCGGAGGCTAAAAAGCTCCTCCTTGGCGGACTCGTTGAGGAGCTTCCCCAGCGAAATCACCCAGGACTTGGCATTTTCTTGCACAGTGGTGGCCAGTGGCCCAAGCTGCAGCCGGATGCAGTTCTCATCCTTGACCAGCGGGTGGCGCATGACGTCCGCCGCGATCTTGGAGTAGAACTGCAGCTTCTCGTCGTAGGCCACACAGGCTGGCTTCTTGGCTGCAAACTTCTCCATCACGATGGACTTGTCCAGCTTCCAGAGGGGCCGGTAGCGCTTCCACCTCTGCAGGTATTTCATGAGGTTCACTAGGAGCCTGTGGATATTTTGGGGGATCATAACAGCTTGATCCATGATCTGGGGGTTCAAGGAGATGTCATTGTAGAAGCTCAGGATGATGACTTCCTCCTCCTCGCCCTTCTGAGGGGGGCACTCGATGCAGCTGCCGTTCATCCAGCGCACAAAATACTGGCAGGAGAGCAGGCGGGAGGTGAGCGCTGGGCACCGTGTGCCTCCTGGGCGTATACTAGTCCCTGGTGACGAGCCCTGCTATGATGGACAGTCTCACCTCACAGGCCTTCAAGGCTAGCCTTGACGTCACCATCCCCTGCCTCAGCCTCAATGGTAGAATTACAGATGTGTGCCGCCATGCCCTGCTATGCTCCCCTCCCTCCTTCCTTGTAATCCCAGCACTAGGGAGGTGGAAGCAGAAAGACCAGAGACTCAAGGTCCTCCTTGGTTAATTGGGAGTTTGAAGCTAGCCTGGGCAATATGATTTAAAAAAAAAAAAAAAAAAAAAGGTAAATTTTTAAGAAGAGAAAAAAGGTAGGATGGGGTGAATGGAACCAGGATTGGGCTATGGGACTGCCCCTAAATTTGATGGCTTCACAGAGGCCAGAGGCAGCTGAACCCGCGTCTGCTAGGCCCCTCTCCGACTGTACCAACCAATGAGCAGCCGGCAAGCAGAAGGGCTACTGTTTCCCGGTGACCTCCGCGTTACCTTGGTGATCTCCACGCAGTTGCGGGTGCAGTGGACACACATCTTATCAATCTCAGTAGCGTTGGGGTGGAGGATGATCTCCGGAGCTGACAGGATGGTTTCCGCTTGGAACAGAGGAGCGTTTCCGAGGATCAGAGAGTTGAAAGCCTGAAAATTCCTAAGTGAGGGAACGCAAGGGACTTAGGACTCAGGGTATGAAACACACCAAGCGCCGACGGAGGGGACAGATTCTGGGGCCGAGGGAAGGGTCTGCTACACACTGTAAGCCACCATGTCGGGGGGACCATTGCACCCTTTGTCTACTTTCATACACCTTGGTCATTTCTGCTTGGGGAATCAAATGCCTACTGGTGGGAAATAGTAACGAACACTGACCACCCAAAAGTCATCCCCAGCAGCACTCTGCCTCCTGGGCATGCTGTCTGATCTTCCGTGGCGACCATTCAACAGGTGTCCATCCTCTCGCTTTGTCCTCTCTCCTCGGTCTCCAGAGGACCGGGCCCTTGTCTGTGACCAAGATCTAGTCCAGGCCCTAGCACATGGCTACTTCTGATAAAGCTTGGTTGGCTGGATGCACAGATACATGGGTAGGTGGATGAAGGCATGGGTGTGTAGTAGCCAGATGAATGGATGGATAGATGGACTCATCGGTGGGTGGATGAAGGCACGGGTGTGTGAGAGTCAAACAAATGGATGGATAGATGGTGATGGGAGAGTAGATAGATGGATGATGGATAGACGGATGGTAGACAGATGGAATGGAGAAATGGATAGATGGATGATGGGAAGATATAACATTATAGAAGGTAAACATTATGGAAAGTAGCTCCAGATAGGATGCTCCATAGAACCTAAGTTTGGTTTCCAGCATCCAAGCCAGGTGGTTCACACCTGTCCATCACTCTAGCTGCAGGGACCATCTGCCCGTCACTCTGGCTGTGGGGACAGCTAACCGTCTGCCCGTCACTCCGGCTGCAGGGACAGCCAACTGTCTGCCCGTCACTCCGGCTGCAGGGACAGCCAACCACCGGCCCCACAGCTCCTGCACTCGTGATCATATATGTGCAATTTAAAATTAAATATTTTTAAATGTGTTTACGTTTTCAAACAGGGCACTCTGGTGCAATGATGCCACCTTCAGAGCCTGATTCAGGAGTCATGGGGATGGCACTCGTGGGCTGGCTCTTAGAACGACCCTGGGCTACAGTGTGTGTGTGTCTCCCAGCTGGCCCAGCTATGCTGCTGGACCACAGGATCCACAGAGGATGGCAGCTTTGGTGTTGGACTGTCATGAGAAATCAGAACTCAGTACGCAGTGACCATTCCAACCAGTGATTGACTGTAGCCGGGAAAGAGGGCTGGACCACCTATCCTCCAAGTCCATCTCTCAACATAAACATAAAGCTCTTTTGGGGCCTTCTGCTGCCAGACAAACACGGTTACTCTGTCTTCCAGAGGCAGAGAGGAACACAGCAGCCTCGTATACCAGAAGGGGTTCATAGGAACAGAGACCCACACAGAGGTCACCCTTCCCTGGTCAGTCACCCCTCCCTGGTCAGCCTCCCCATCCAGCTGCCCATCCCAGCCTGTGAGTCATGACCAACCCAGGCACGACTCAGGTGGGCTTACCTCAGGATGAGCTTCCCCAAGACGTCATAGATTCTGCCTTCCCAGTACTCGTAGTAGGAGGCCAGTTTGGGGGCCCTGCCTGTGTTGGTATGCACAACTAGACCTTCAACTTTGGTCAGCAGTGGTCCGATGGCCAGGTACCACCGGACCATGTGGTCCACGTCTTTGGCCCTTTCCCGTTCGATGTGCTCGAAGAATTCCTTCACACCTGTAGAGAAGGGCACGAGATACATAGAGCAGCTGCGGCTCAGAGAACTTCACAGCAGAAGTGTCCCCACTTCAGGATGTCAGGGACCTGTTCACACATCAGCCATGAGTCATGGCTGTCTACACTTCAGCAATGTCAGGGGCCTGTCCACACTTCAGCCATGTCAGGGGCCTGTCCACACTTCAGCCATGGGTCATGGCTGTCTACACTTCAGCCATGTCAGGGGCCGGTCCACACATCAGCCATGAGTCATGGCTGTCCACACATCAGCCATGGGGTCATGGCTGTCCACACATCAGCCATGGAGTCATGGCTGTCCACACTTCAGCCATGTCAGGGGCCGGTCCACACATCAGCCACGGGTCAGGGCTGTCCACATATCAGCCATGGGTCAGGGACCTGACCACACATCAGTCATGGGTAAAGGCCATTCATACATCAGCCGTGGGTCATGAGTCATATGAGTACTCATGAAAATGGAGTTGATGCCAGAAGCTAAGACTCAACTCAAGACAAAAGCAAGTGATAGCAGGCAGGGCCGTGATGGATGCTGGTGCCCTGCATCCATCATATTGGCTGTGATGCCTGTCTTCAATTCTTTGAAGACTAGTTTTCTTCAGTTCCTTATTGACTAACTAGGGACAATTTAAAATACCTCTAGCGCAATAAAAAGTAAAAATAAGCCCATACAAGATAGTTATCTGACTATTAACAAAGTTACACAACTTGGTGTGGTGGCATGCACCTGCAATCCCAGGCAGAGGATGTCAAGGCCAGCTTGGGCAACAAAGTGAGAACCCATCTCAAGAACAGGTAAATCAGCTGGGCGGTGATGGTGCACACCTTTAATCCCAGCACTCAGGAGGCAGAGACAGGTGGATCTCTGTGAGTTCAAGGCCAGCCTGGTCTACATAGTGAGACCTTGTCTTTCTCAAAATAAAGAATCTGGAGGGCTGGTGCTGTCCTGGCGGCAGAGCCCTTTGCTGAGCACATGAGAGGCCCTGGTTCTAGCTTAGGACTGGAGCCACCAGTGGTCGCAAACTGTGAAACTACTGAGTAACACAGAACATGGCAGAGGGTGAGGGACACGGGACACAGCCATAATACTTCCCGGTAAAGGGCTGGGGTGGTTAGACCGGGTTATTACCGTCACTGAATGCCTGGAGCATAGAAATAGTGACCACGAGGCCCCTCTTTCATCCCACAACTGACGAGCTAGAAGCCAGGCCTACCTGGGAGCCCCTCCTCGGTTTTGGAGACTGGGTACCTAAAGAGGTTGACAGACTCAATTAGCGTAAGCCTGGAGGTGATGTCCTCCGCATTCTTGTGAATCTGGTGGACGAGAGACTCGAACTTGCCGATGGCCTGTTTGCAGCGATTGATGTAGTCAGCGATTCCTTGGGGGAAGAGGAAGCAACTTGGTTCCATCCCTGCTGTTCTTGGCCCTCCCACCAGCACTTGTGAGACCCATGGTGATGCCACTTAGCTCACAGACTCTGTCCCTGCACCTGTGTGGACTGAGCCATCGCTAAGAGCCATTCATCCCCTGAAGGCTTGGGACCAAGATGTCTGTAGGGCAGGAATCTACCAGGCTTAGCAGAGGCTTTATTACATTCACAGATTCATTTGTGTTCGTATTTGTGTGTGTACATATGTGTGTGTGTATATATGTGTATATGTACATGTGTGTGCGTGTGTGAATGTACACATACATGCATACGCGTGTGCGTATATGTTGTATGTGTATATGCATGTGTATATGCGCGTGTTTATGTGTGTGTGCACTTAATAAATTTGTATAGTTTATATTCAGATATTGTGACATTTTGGGTTTACGAGATCATTACTTAAGGTCCCTCTAGGTTCTGGGCAGGTGACTCAGTGGGTAAGTGTATCTGTTCTGTAAACATGAGGACCTGGGTTTGAATCTCTGGCATGCACGTACATAGTTGGGCAAGCCCATGCATACCTATAACCCCAGCATTGTGGGCAGAGACAGGCAGGACCTGAGCTCGCTGGCGAGCCTCCTGAGAAGTAAGAGACTCAGCCTTGACACTGGCCTCTGGCATATGCATGCACACAGCACACCACACACACACAAGAAATACATGTAAAACAAACTGTACGGTGACCAGGAGCTGCGCGGTTACCTAGTGAGTTCCAGTTCAGCCTCTTGTACCCAGAGCGGAACACCCTGAGCAGCTCCTGGGAGTGGTCATCCAGGAGAGCCGTCTCTGCCTCGTTCAGCGTGTTGATGAGCAGGTGGTAATGGTCCAGCATGCGCTGGATGCCTTCCGTGTACCTGTGTGCCCAGCAGAGGGAGCGGTGAGAAATGCAGGGCAGGACGTGAGAACCACAGTAGCGTGGCCCCCAGAGGCCTGACTCACTTCCGTCAGGACATCACAGAGGGCTGGGATGAGGCTCAGGGCCAGAGCAGTTGCGAGTGCTAGGCCCTGTCTGTCCTCAGAACAGTTCCAGGGGCAACTGTCCCTCACATCCAAAGGGAGGGGTCTGCTAGTGTCCTGTGCCCAGAGGAGCAACTCCACTTGTGAGTCACTGCTGAGTTGACTCCCGATGTGGTCAGTATTGCTAGTCACTGACCTTCAGTGCTAAAGCTTCACGTGGATAGACTGGGGGAGGGGCAACCACTGTCTTTACCCTGGCGCCCTTATGCTGAGCCCACCACAGGCTCTGACCAGTGACAGCCACAACCCTCGGTCGGTCAAACAGACCTGGTCAATCTCAGGTCACAAAACAATGCAGAAAGCTGTGAAGGAGCAGAGAGCACTGTGGGGGGGGGAGGGAGGGAGGGAGGTGGGGTGGGGAGCTGGTTAGTATGCAAAGTGTACATAAGTAAAACTGCAAGTATAATAAAAAAAAAATTAAAGAAATGAGTTGGACATAATGGTGCACGCCTTTAATCCCAGCACATGGGAGGCAGAAGCAGGTGGATCTCTGAGTTTTGAGGCCAGCCTGGTCTCCAGTGAGTCCTAGGTCAGCCTTCAGCTCCACACAGTCCTGAGCTCTTCAGTTCAGCAGTCACAGGTCCATCTGGACTATAGAGTGTTCAAGACCAGCCTAGGCAACTGAGAGAGACCTTGTCCCCCCCAAAAAAATTAATTTTTTTTGTTTGTTTTTTTTCAAGACAACGTTTCTCCGTAGCTTTGGAGCCTGTCCTGGAACTCACTTTGTAGACCAGGCTGGCCTTGAACTCACAGAGATCCGCCTGCCTCTGCCTCCCCAGTGCTGGAATTAAAGGCGTGCGCCACCACCGCCTGGCAAAATTAATTTTTAAATAAGAATAAAATAAAATTAAAAATGAATAAAGGAAACAAGAGCTTTTGAGGGGAGGGCTCCACCACCACCTTTGGGAGTGTCAGGTAGTGGCGTTGAAGGGACAAACCAGTTGATGAAGTGCTTGCCTTGCAAATATGAGGACCTGAGCTCGACCTCCCGCTCCCATGTATAAAGCAGCATGGTGGGAAACTCCTACAGTCCCAGCACTGGGGAGGCAAAAACAGCTCCCTGTGGCTCACCAGCGGTCAGCATAACCAGACCAGGGAGCCGCAGACCAGGGAGAGAATCTGCCTCAAAAACAAGGTGCATGGACAGTATCTACAGACAACACCCAACTTTGACCTGGGTCCACATGCTCATACACCTGGCACACACGTACGTATGCATGCACATGCACACACACATATACACACAGAGACACAGGCACATACACACGCGCACACATACGCACACGCACACATACATACACACTTTAAAACAACAGTAAAGAGTGTCAAGAGGCCCTGAGACCAAAGTGTCCCCTCTGACTGAAGAAGTGTCTTCTCACCTGAGGAATTTGTCTTCTTGGAGGGCCACGTTCCTGGCCAGTTCAGGGACAGTGAATCCCAGCTGCTCTAAGTACTTGGTTTCATTAATAATCTCTCTGAGAAACGGAGAGAAGTTGATGACAAACACGGCTCCCTTTTCCATAGGGGGCGCGTCCTCAGCCGTGATGGTGGTCTGTGGAAGAGACGACACACAGCCTGGAAGTATCTGCCGCTGCTTGTAAAGCTCACTAGACATGATTCACACAGACCAATGAGGTCCCTTTCCCCAGCAGATGGACGCAGACCGGACTAGTGTGCCACACAGTCTGTTTTGCAGAGTTGTTCAATAATCTAGTTTCGGGCTGGTGCTCATTGTGTAAAATGCTTGCTCTGGAAACAGGAAGACCTAAGTTTGGATGCTCAATGCCGTGTAGAATTTCAGGTATATGTGCACATGTGCATACCACAAATAATATCCGAAAGAGAGAGAGAGAGAGAGAGAGAGAGAGAGAGAGAGAGAGAGAGAGAGAGAGCGCGAGAGAACAGAAGGAAGGATTCTTGGGGTTGTAAGGCCAGCCAATCTAGCCAAATGCATGAGTTCTTGGTTCAGTGAGAGACCCTGTCTCAAAAAATGTTGTTGGGGGTAATTGAGGAAGACACATGATGTCAACCTCTGGTCTCTGCATATGTGAACATACATGCAAACACTACACACACACAACTGAACTACAGAGTGAGATCAAAACCAGCCTAGGCAACTGAGTGAGACCCTGCCCCAAAATAAAAAGGAAGACAGACAGAACTATTTCTCAGCAGTAGAATACCCCAGGGAGGGATTGGGGTGTGGCTAAGTACTTTCTTAGCATGTACAAGGCTCCTACTTCAAACTCCAGCCCTGGCGGAGTGGGGGAGAAAGAATTCTATTTAGTTGCCAATATTAGAATACTAGGTAAAGTCCTAGAAAAACAGAGATTTCTGACTTTACTTGGAAAGCAGGGAAACCAAATCATGTTGGCAGGGACAGGCTAGAATTGGGTTGCTGACTCCCTTGGGGGCCAGGCTCTGAACACCCCAGCTCCCCCAAGTTTATGACGCTCTGCCCTCATGGCAAAGAAGCTGCCCACTAGAAAGAGTTTCAGGGACAGTAGACACACACCACCAGGTCAACAGACACCGACCTCCTGAGTGGTGGCCCCATGCCAGGCCCAAAGCCAAAGTTCAAAACCAGTCACCTGGGGGCCTTCGAGGTGACTCGGTGAGAAAAGGCGCTTGCCACCAACCTGCGTTCAGTCCCTGGAGCCCACATGGAGGAGGAAAACTGGACCTGCAAGCTGTCCTTTGATGCCCACACGCACACAGAGGCGCACACACATCCACACACTAATGAGTTGTGTAAAACCCATCGCCTGTGGCTCATGAAGGAGTCAATTAGGAGAGCACAGATCTCTGTCATCCAGTATACTCAATCATTTTAATTCATATACATGTGTGCAGGTATAGAGGGTGTGCACATATGTACATACATACATACATGTCTGTACATGGATGTGAAGGACAGATAGCAACCTCGGACATCATTTCTCCCCTGCCTTCTGTCTTTTTTTTAAAGATTTGTTTTATATATA